TTTAGCGGAGACTTGGAATTTCTTTTTCAGTACCTCGTAAATTACCTGTTGTATATTGTTCCACCAGTCTTTAATTGCAGAACATGTCCAGAGCACATGAAAGATAGAGGCACCAGCCTCTTCGCATCTCCAGCAAGAGTCTGTAGGTCTTAGTTTCCACTTGTGTAATTTTTGAGGCGTCCGATGCCACCAGTGTATTATTTTTTTTAATTGGATGTATTTATTGCCAACTTCTTCATACATTGTATTAATATTTTTCAAACATGAATCCCAATCCTCAGGTGATATGTCCACAGCCATGTCCTTTGCTCATTGTTCTTTTACTTTTATCAAAGGATCACACAATTGATTGTGTAGTGAATGATAAATCTTTGAGGCAGTGCCTCTGCATGATGAGGATTTAGTAAGCAGTTCTTCAATTGGGCTGCCTGTGGGGCATATAAGGGGGCTTCCTAACCATTTTGATAAAGTACTTTGCATTTGGACATATCTCCAGAATTGGTTACATGGTAAATTATACCAAAACAATTTGGTTGAAGATTAGAAATTGTTTAGTTCGGCCAACAAACAAATCTGAGATGTACAAATTCCCAGCCCTCCTCCATAGAGTCCAGTTAACCGTTTTATCTCCAACAAGAATTTTACTATTGTTCCATAAAGGTGCTAGAGGGGATTTAAAGAAATCCCAGCGACCAGCTCTATCTAGTTTATTCCATATCAATCTAGCATTAGCAATAACAGGATGTTCTTTTTGTTGCAGTGATTTTGGACCAAACAGACCATGGGGTTGACCCATAACAAATTTCAACCTCTATCTGTAACCAGCTGGTTGTCCCTCACTTCTTGACATGCTAACCAGTTTCTCACGTATCTCACGGCATTATCAGGATGCCCAGATACTTAATAGCCGTCATTGACCAACAAAATTTCCACTGATTAAAGAGAGGAGTGGGGCAGTAGCCTGGCATTGCCATAGCTTCAGATTTATCCCAGTTAATACGGTATCCAGATAAAACTATAAATTCCTCAATACAGCTTTATATAGTGGGTATTGATTTTTCTGGTGGAGTTATTAATAATAACATCTCATCCGCGTACATTTAAAGTTTGTGTTGAGTATCACATACTGTAATACCATGAAAATTTGCATTATGCCGTAGTTTCTGCACTAAAGGTTCTAGAGTTAGAACAAAGAGTCCTGGGCTAAGATTAATTTTCTAACCAGTCAAGACTATGTTGACCACAAGCAGCCATACAGGAGTTGTTTTATTGCCACTGGATACACTTCAGACTTTGTGGATGCAAAGTCACATAATGAGAAATTCAGCTCAAAGGACCTCCTCCTGGAGGAAAGCAGGGTGTTTTTCAGACAGTGTTGGTCGAAGTAGAAAACAATGACTCTCCATACAGACTGTAAGTGCTCACATCAAGACGGACATTAGGACTAAATGACATTGACCCACTTTCTCCCTGAAAATAATGTGATAACAGTGTGTGTGCGTGTGTGTGCGGCTCAGTTCAGCTCTGGTCAAACAGAGCTGCCTGATCTGACCGGAGCCTCAGGCGAGTTGTACGACGCTCTAATAACATTACTCCTACAATAAAATGTGACCACCTGATCAACATTAAAGTTAACCCTCTTAATTTCTACTTAAAAAGAATGGATAGTGTGTAATAAGAAGAGGACTTCTCAGTAATGATTATGGTCTGCGTTGACATCAGTATTTCATATCAGTATTTATTTCATATCGTGTGTTCTTCCTTTGTTTAAAATGTCTGAGAATTCTCAATGAGGCCGGCAAAAGACAAAGACTGAATCCAGGTGGGAGTCAGTTTAAACAATTGTCTTGTTTGAAAAGTCCAAATGGAGGTTACTGTACATGAGTTGATCTGTGATTTACTCAACAGCTCAGTTTTAAGTTTTGAACAGGACAGGTTGAGCTGTCAACTATAGAAAGTTATTTGTTCGGTTTTAAGAGAAGCTAAACATAGGAGAAATGTGCACTTACATTTTTATCTTCTTTCTTCAGGAGTTCTTAATAAAAAGGAAGGCTGATGGCCTGTCGTAGTCATAAACTAATTAAAGACCTCTGCCGACTCTGCTTTGCATAGTTTATAAGATAATTCCATTTATGTTTCTGTTTAACCTGAAGTGGACATTTTAATGCAAGGGTTTAGTAAAGTCACAGAAATCACTGTACACTTCTGTGTAACTTATAGCGTGTTAACACCTCATGTTGACACATGAACACCTGAGCTTTGTTTACCCTCAAAGAAAAAAAGTGGATGAAAATACTTAGTGGTGAAAAAGACTCAAGATCAACATTTCCCAGATTGTGTTGATTAGTCATTTACCCTCTTGTTAGCTGCAGACTTTGCCGGCAGATAACAACATTTTTTCAATCAGAAACACACTGTAAAATTTTATACACAACATAAGTGGGATCAATGAAGGACATGCTGCCTTTTCATACTGTTTACAGTTTGTGTTTTAAAGCATTAGCAATTTAGCATTCGATCTAAGTTACTGGTATTAAACATCAAATGTTAGAATGCCATCTTGTGAGCAAATCCAATCATATGAGTATTGACATCATGACCATAACATGTTGTGATGACTCCGGGCTGTGTACTTTAAAGCCGGTCATTCATCTTCATCATGACTTTGTGTTGAGTCACTGATCTAACATCAAACCCACTACATCACTATGTTGTACCAACTCCAGGACTTCTTCCTGTTACACTCCCACTAGTTAAGCCCTGTTAGTACAAACAAACTGAGCTCACTCTTGGTGTCTACTCTTTCAGGCCTCTCCGTGTTGCCACAGCGCATGAACCCATTGTGATGGACGCTTCCTTGTTTGGAGAGTACAGAAAACAGGTCACTGCAATGCTGCTGAGTCTACCTTTTCTGACACTTGTTTCAACAGCCAGCTCAAAAATCTTTGCAGCAGAATTATGCTGTTCCTATAGCAACAAGTGTACACTTCAACTGTTTTGCATTTCACTTTCTGGAGGCATGGGTTGTGATGTTTCCCACCATTTTATTTCATCTGTGTTGATTATTCTATTTTATTTTAAACCTGCAGGAATAATACCTTAATTGAAAGTGTCATTATGGTAGATAAAACCATAATTTTAAACATCTTACGCTTTTGACTGAAGTTTAAGATGATTCTAGTTCATTCAGCCTGTCGGTGACAAAATCAGCTTAATTCAGTTGTTTACTATCGGAGTGTCCTGACTGTCCACAAGCGACAAGGTGTGCCGTTTTTACCCTGACTCAATGTTTCTATTTTCCTCTCTGTCGCTCATAGGCGGACGAGAAACGAGAGGGAGGAGGGGGCTCTACAAGGCACTGACACTCCCTTTTCTCACTCAACAGAGCTTTTAGCTTGTTTTACTAAGTGGAGATAGCGGTGCATTAATTATATCAACATCCCTGTTTGAAATGTTGAGCTTTGACTTGTGTCAACAACACTGCAGATGCACTTTTTTTTCGGCTCACCGCGAGCCGATTATTGCTGACTGTTGTGATTTGAGTCAATAGCTGGTAAATACAAAGCACCACACATCTGTTTGTCTACCTTCAATTTTTAAAAAAAGCACTAGATGTCATACTTTTGCAAGAGGAAAATGATATTCACAGAGCAAAGAATTAAATATTTAACAGATGCAGTGTGGATAGCCAGCGTGCGATCTTGCGCCTTGCGATGATATATGCTCCGTGCTGTTAGGACACGGTGTAAACAGTACAACATTCAGTTGAAGAATCAAGAATTTAGTGGGGTTTTTTTGTTTGTTATTACTTTAAAGGAACAATGATGAACAACAACATGCAGGTGTCCTAAATAAAACCAAGAGAATAACCAGATTAGGGGAGCATATGCACAGCTCATATGCTGCCATGAGAGTCACTTTACTCTGCATGTTTAAGCATGAAACATACAAGTGGGTGATAAAATATATTTTTCAAGTACTCTTTTTTTCCTGACAAATATCTGCTATTATCATACAGAAATAGAAACATTCATATCCCTCTTCATGGTAATATTACATTTGTAATGGCAGGCTTAAGAATGAAAGGCTGCTTGATCTCAAAAAGGCTTTGTAGAAACTGAAACAGATCTTAATTCATGTTGAATGGAGCTCAGAAGTTCCATGATGCATGTGACCTATGTTACTCATTATATTTGTGTCCTCATCTTTTAAAGCCTTCAGGACCATTTGCACCAATGCAGAAACTCAACTGTTAAATCAACCATTTGCCAACAAAATGTTCCCTCTCTCTTCTCTTCTACAGTATGTTTAACCCCTGACAAGTGTTATCATCAGTCCAACAAGCATATTCCCCTGACACACCATTCAGGAGTATTTCCCATCCTTTCATAACCATAGAAACTAGCAAAACATAGGAAGCTGGAACAATGAACAGATGAGGATCCGAATATCCTGGATACCTTTGTTACTAGTTCATCCAGAAACAAGATCAAGCACTAATCGTTTGCTTTGTATCGAACATGCACTGTTTTACAGGCATTGAAAACTTTGTATACACTTTTCCTTAATTCAAACACTTTTATTTTTGTAGGTCATTGAATTAGGTAAAAAGTCAGAAACACCCCCCACTGAGCAACCGTTTGAGATTTCAAAGACTCTTGTCAGCGTCCTGTCTTTCCTCGAGCCTTCTATTCCTGGAATGACTCTGAGATGTGGTCAGGCAGACAGTCACTGGATGATGTGCTGGGTCAGAGAAATTCAACCTACATGCACAGTTTACTCAGAAGTTAATTTCCTGTGATCATTCTACAAATGGGGAACGCATTTACTCGTACCAAACTTGCTTAAAAATGAATTGTGATTCATCTTTTATCCACATTGGTTGGATTCTTTCTCGTTGTTAAACAGTGTCCTTCTTTTGGAAGACTTAAATAATCAAAGGTTATGTTTTTTGGCGCTTGACCCTTGAGCCTTATTGATGTGCTGTGTTCTTCCCTCAGGTCTGACGCGCATTCTGCAGCTTGACCTGGACCTGAAGTACAGGACCAACATCAGGGACCTTTTCCAAGAATTTGACCTTTTCCCTCCAGGAGCAGTGATAGGCATTACCAGAGAGATGCAGCCTGTCTACAGGTAGGCACTTTGGTCTGAAATCTAGATCACCAAATATCTGACTATAAACGTGTAGCTTGTGCAGAGCTTTAAAATCTATTACTTTTCAAAGTGTCAAAATGGCGCTGGCTAATATTGAATCAAGATCCATCATCTGTAAAAAGATTTTAAAAAATCAGACTTTTGGTTGTTTGCCTCTTAACGGAAAGACATCTTTACTTTGTGACAAACATGCACCTGACAGAAAGTATACAGACACAGTTCAGTCAAGAGTTATTTTTCTTTTTCATATTCTTGTTTTCTTTTTTTTTCTTTACACAGATATTTTAGATTGTATTTATCAATTGACTTGTTTTCTATAACTGAAATAATTAGGGCATAGTCTTGTTTTAGTTACTCAGAGCAACTAAACTAAGCTTGTCTCCCTTTAGACTTACATAAAAGGTTACACGGATAAAATGTTAAGCTTCAAAACTTCATGAATTTTGCATTACTTTGATGTAATGAAATTATATAATGTAAAGATTGGTGTAAGGAGCAACATTTGGAATATCCATTATAATCTCTCTCAGTGTTGCTGACCCCAGATGGATTAGAGTTTTCCGGGCCTCATTTACACGTTCACAGTTACTTTCTCTCAGTGTGTAAGTGAGAAAGAACATAAGCAGTCTCTCATGCATTCTCAAGAATTTCAGTAGTGATAACAGCCTGCAGTTATACAACTGTGGACAAGAATTAAAACTCTGTTATGCAACATGTAACAGAAGATAATAGTTGTCTGGTCCGGTTTTCAATGATGCAATAATGCAACTGAAAATCTTGTGGTGTGGTGAGACCAATGAAAATCATCGGTTGCATTTGTTGGATTTTGGTTTCGTCATAATGCTGTTGATCAGATCCTCACGAAAGACCAAGTTTGGAGGCTTTATTTTTTTTGGGTGCAGTTGTTTGGATTTTAATATTTATAAAGCAAAATATGTATATCATCATTGTGTGGGAAAAGTTGGTATGTGTAGTGTAACAAGCATGTTTTTAATCTGTATAGTATGATTTTTCACAGCTGTTGGGCTCAAATCGTCTTCCAGTGCTTCAGCTGTATAAGATAGGGATCCTGATAGCAGCTGTCAATGTCAAAAGTTGCAATATTTTTTCAGTAACAAGCTATATAAAGTCATTCCTGTCAGATAAATAATTGAAGATTTGGCGGAATCTAAGCAGAGAGATATTAGTTGTTAGAAAATGTTTCCCTCTCACCTTGTTCTTCAGATCCATCTCCAGTCTATTTGTCAAACTTGTCTGCAGGAAATAAATAAACAGCTCGTCATCAGAGCTGAAGACCAAACTGACAGGTTCCATAAACGTTTTCTAACTGGTTGTATTTCACTGGAACCTTGACTTTGTTTAAGTCAACTCATTGAACCAACATGGTTACAGCACCTTGTGGTGACTTTGCAGAGATTGAGACTAAACCCCTCCCTCTCTTCTTTCATCTTCCTTTTATCCATTGGAGTATCCACATTGAAACCCTGTGTATGAAAGAGTTAAAGTCGACACTAGTATTGAAAGCTGGAGTCAAAAGTTTGTTTCAAAACATTATAAACTGAGAATTAAAACAAATTCTGCAAATATTGTCCAGTGGCCAAAAAAGTCATGATGTACTTACTGCAGCTACGTTAAACGTGTGCATCTGTATGCAGAGTCAGGTTTTTCCTATCAGTCTTTACCAAGTTGTTAGGAAGTTATGTGAATAAGTAGTGAAAAAGTTTGCAAACAATCTGTCCCAATTACGCTATCAGTCGGGTTTGTTATCTCTATTTATTTTTGATCTGAAGCTTCTGATTAACATAATGAACATACAGACAAACCACTCAATAAAAACAACAGCTGTTGTTCCTCTAAATCCAAATGTCTTGTTCATTACTGTGTGTGTGTGTGTGTGTGTGTGTGTGTGTGTGTGTGTGTGTGTGTGTGTGTGTGTGTGTGTGTGTGTGTGTGTGTGTGTGTGTGTGTGTGTGTGTGTGTGTGTGTGTGTGTGTGTGTGTGTGTGTGTGTGTGTGTGTGTGTGTGTGTGTGTGTGTGCTCATAAACAGGGGACTTAGACTTTCAAGCTCTTTGTTCCTCATCTGATTTTTCGGTCTCTTTCCAAGATAGTAAGACAAACATGCCTGGTACGTTTAGTCTACCAAACTGTTTTCCACTCAGCGACAGCATCAAAACAGGACGTCACTGTGTGTATGTGTGCGTGCGTGCACGTGTGCGTCACTGTGCGTAGGATAGTGAGACTACATGAGTCAAGGTCAGGTAAGAGGTTTTATGCAGCAGCTGCTTACTGAGATAAAAATACAGCCAAGTGGTTGCCTCTGGGCATATTAATAAGAGCTTATTTATATATGTGTTTGAATGTCTTCATTATTTCCAATTTAAACTCCTAAGCAGAGTTACTATTCCATATTTTTTTATGTGAATGTGTGTCCTTATCATTTTTATTTATTTATCAATTTTATTGATATTTGGCAAACATCTCAGTAAAGTGTATCTCACTCACTTAGATATCAATCAAACATGTCCACCACTCGTCCCAAGAAAAGCACCTAACAGGTGTTTATAGATAGGAAAAGAATACAAGTACAACAAAAAAGGAATAAAATAAGCAATAGGTACCAAGTGAAACTAGAATAATAAGTTTTGTACAAAATGCAGGGACTGGAGGATATAAACACTATTTACAATTAAAAAATATACACAATGTGCTGTGTGATATGACTCTATCATAATGGCAGAAATAGAATGTATAATTCATTTTAGCTTTAAAGGTGTTGCAATTTAAGTCGGGAGATTTTCAACTACACTGTCTGCTCTTTTAGTCAGAGCCACAGCTCGCTTCTTGTAACCCTCTTGGATTTAACATAGGCATGACATAAATTGAAACAGGTAGGCCTGTTATCATGGAGATGCAGAGCCGTTCCAGCACATAGCCTTTATCAAAGCAAAGACAGAGAGAAAGAGGCACACTGCAGGCGAGCACACCCACTTAATGTTGACGTTATTTACTGAAACTTGGAGAGGGGAGAGTACAACTTTACCCGATGGCTGTTCCACATTTCACTTTCATTGTAAACTCTCTTACCTGCTCTAACACGAGGAGGAGGAAAAGCCCTTTGATCAGGGAATCAATCTGAGCTGTTGTCTGTCACTAATCACTATTTTCTGCTATTTTTATTTCCCCACCACTGTGGCTGGAAGGTTAAGCAATTAGTGGTGACTTGGGTGTGCACTACAAACAAAACGTGTGTGTTTTAACTGGTGATCAGGGTATGCCAAAAATCAATTTCCTGACAAAATATAATACCGGTTTACCACACACATCTACTTCATATAGGAGAAAATAGTTGGTGAATGTTATAATAATAATAATATATTGGTGCAAAACACTGAAATACTAATGAAGTAAAAAGGTAACCTTAGCTATAAGATACTGTATGAGTAGCAGTAGACAGATAGCAGAGAAGTCACACTTATCAATTTATCTCGTAGAAATAAGTAGGAAACTAGACCAGAAGCTGCAGTACCAGGGGCAGCAGATATTTAAGGTTTGGACTTGGAATTGGGGTCCAAAAAGCTGGATCATAAAATCCTTTCTATCGAGAACAGAGGGTCGTGTTGCCCTGATTTGTTGGATTCCATTGTTGTCATGATCTAAACGTTTTTACGGGAAGGTACATTGTCAGTGAACAGGTAGTTCTTGTTTATGTGTGAGGCAAAAAAGACTATTTCTATGACTGTATATGTTAGTGATGTCAGGTTTTGGAAGTAGAGCTGGTTTCCTGCCCAGGCTCCAGTTGGCACCAGCATCTCCAAACAGATCTCTATCTCTTCCCCGCCACTCGACTGGTTCAATGGGTAACCCAGCCTGGGAACCCCCTGCTACTTTGGTTCCTGTGGGCCTGAATAGACTCATTTCAAACCATGCAGGATGCCTTGCCTCTCAGTGTCTACATAGGAGATGATGTCCGACAAGCTTTTTGAGTTTTGAAGACGATTAAGTGAAGATATTTTGATAGTTGAAGTTAAGAGCAAGGGTAAGCAAATCTGCAGATCTGTAGATTTTCTTTTTTTTTCTGAATGAAATAATAAAAGGGTTGATAGATTTACTTCACACTAGATTAAAGATTCTCATGGATTTGCTCTCCAAGTCTAGTTTATGGTATCTGAATCATTTAAGAAACAACGAGGCGATTTTCATGGAGGTTTGTGAGCATCCTCTCCACTGTAGTGTTTTCCTGCGTCGAGTGGAGAAGGCTCTCAGCTCTATCTCTCTCTCTCTCTGTGTTGGTGCTAATGGACAGAGCATTATGCAGGAGAACGTGTCCTCCCACCTGCCTCATTCATAGAACACCCTGCCACTGAAAGTTAATTATTGGGAAAAAAAAAATGCCCAATGTCTTTTCCCTTGCAGCTGCGTTGTAATGCTTTTAAGCCCAAGAGAAAAGACCCACTTACATAAGTGTAACAAACCCACAAACACTCGCACTTTGTGTATTGAGTCTTCTTTGTGTGATGCATCCCACATAGTCCCAACTTTTTTACCCTTAGATGGAATCAACTGTTGAATATGAAATATGTATTTTTTTATCAAAGAATACTCCTCTGTTTTCCAGTCATTTGACCCTGAGCTGTGTAGTACTCTCACTGTGTATATATTTGGTATATCTTTGTTTTGATCAAAAATAAGTTATCTTTTTAAAGAAGTAGATATGCTGTTTATGGACAGTCTAACAATATTTTTTTTCTATAAAAAGGGTCATCATGATCCTCAAAGTTCATCAAATAAGAGTCTTTAAAGGCTAAATTATACTGTCAGTTTTCTTTGGTATTGTTTAAATAAATTGTTGTTTTTTAATATTTACATTTTCTTAACAATATTGTATATATTTTACAAGATTTTATATATTTTATCTATCTATATCTATCTATCTATATTTTTAACTAATTCCAACAAAATTTGTTAATATCTGCAGCATAGTGAGCATTCTTGTTTGAAGGCTTTTCTCATGTATGAAAGAGTCTTCTTTGACAAACCTCTCACATCGCCAGACTACATTTTGTTAAGAAGCACCAGATAGTTCATTTGTGTTCCTCAGGACCAGACACCTGTTTGTCAGTGAGAGAGTTCTGCACAGACTTGAGAGAGCAGGCTGTTTTCTTGTTCTGAACAACAAAGTGGAGGACACGTTGGAATGGTGTAGCACAGACTGTCCCCACTGTCACCTGCTAATGCTTCATTGTTTCACCATTAAGAGGAAGGAAAACACTTAGAAGGCTGGCTGTCTTGGCAGAGCAGGAGGAGAGGTGCAATGGTCTAAGCTAAGACTTCAAGTCTGGTTTGAGTGAGCTGGTACAAAACTGAGGTGATTGCGACAGAGAGACGAGCCACATTCTGTCCAGTACCTGCTCTTAGAATGTCACATTTTGAAAGCAGAAGTCACACGTTTATTGAGTACTGAGGCAGGACTGATGGGACTAACTGTGCACTTGAATGTTTTACTGCTTTGTTTTAAAAAGTCTCTGATTTTGTTATACACACACACACACACCACACACACACACACACACAAACACACACACATATATACATACATACATACATACATACATACATACATACATACATACACACAATTATGTACCTGGAAGTTATGTTGTAAAATAAAAAATTGGAAACTGGGAAAAGCTGGCTCTGCTATGTCCAGAAAAACAAAATCTGCCTACCAGCACATTGAACAGATTTCATCTCATTTGTTTACCTTGTTGTACATAAGCTAATGTGTGAAAGCGTCCATGCCCCAATGTAAATGTAGCTATATACTTGACTATTTCTTGGCATGGAGCAGTAAATAATCGGAGTCTCCAGTGGTTGCTCAGCTTGCCAACTGGTGAGAACCAACAATAAGTTCAGCACACTTTGGTCGGTTAACTCCTCTGTTCTGTTTTTTTCTCTTGTTGTTGTATTTTTTAACTGTAATGTTCTCTGCTCAGTATAAGCATTGGTCACCATAGGTTAGAAACTGCAGATATAAATAACGCAAATAACAACCGGTTGCAAACGCCTCTTTTATGGCTCGCTATTCCATCTCAGATAGTCAATAACCAGCTCGCTTGCTGTAAATCGTATATTTTTGCAATAATCAGCAAACGCAACATGTTGCTCTTGGTACATTCATATGTTTAAACATCAGAAGGGAAAGGTCTGTGTAAATGTTCCCTCACTAAAAGTACTCATCCCAAATGTGTCTCGGGGCACGTAGACCCAGTGTATGTCTTAATAATGATAAATGCTCCGCAGGGGCCACAAGTCCCCAGCTTCCAACAGGCTGTGCAAAACTGTGTAGACAAGCAACAGCTGCTTTATATAGGTCAGTAATAATATCAAAGAGTGATTCAGGGAATCTGCTGCTCCTACCAGACGTGAACAAGCTGCATCGAGAAAGAGGCATCCATTACAATATGAATCATAATTATTCCCATGTGTTCATCTGAAAATAACCAAGAGAGCATTGAGAGCTCAGCTAATTGTATATTTCACCAGTTAAGTAACACTTTGTATTTTTTGAGGAAACTGACTGCTGTGCAATAGATTTGTCTGGCTTCTATCCACATGTGTTGGAGCCCTCACATTTCTCCTTTTAATATTTAATCCTGTAGGTTTCCCCAGGCTGGGCCAAAACTGTGAATAATCTGAACTCTGAGGAGAGTGTGTGCGTGTAAACATGCATGCAATAGTGCATTCCCATTCACTCAAGTGTCCTGTAGGAATAAAACATTGTTGCACTGGCTTTTAGTATCGAGAGAAGGACATCCTGTTCTTTCCTTAAATAAAAAAAATCACCTTTCCCCGAAAAGAGTACACTCACAGCATGCTGACAGTACAGTAAGAAAACAACAGCTACAGACAGGACCGCATGTTTTTACTGCTTTTCTTGTTTGTCCCATTTTGGGTTTTTTCTTTGTCTCCAGGGTGACAAGACAAATAGCACATGATGTACATGCTCGTACATCAGGGGTCCAATATGCAAACAAACATTCCCTCTTTTAAGTTTTTGGTTGGAATAAGGACTGTCCCAGCGTAGGTCAGTTAAACTGGCCCTTACCCAAACCTTGCTTCCCTTCTTTGCTTTCTCATAACCCTACTTAAATGTAGCTGTCCTCCTGAAGCTCAGTGCACTTAAAACATCTGGCACTTGTTAAGAAACTGGTATTTTTCACACAGACAAGTCCAAAGATTCTGTTCATGCCATTGCATCATCTCTTTGTCTCTCAGTATTTTATACGGAGAGAAACATACATAATATTTTTCATCTGAGTTATTTGCCAAGGCTGTAAGTTAAAGCTTGATCCCATTTCTCATGCAAACTACAGCTTTGTTCCTGGCATGGATATTAGTCAAGTGAGCCAAAAATACTGACCCTTTATAGCACCATGCATTACATAACATAAGGAGTGCTATCTGTTACACTAGACTTAGAAGTCTTTCCAGGGTAAAATTTGAACACATGGCAATATTACAAAGCCCCAAAAAAGCTCTCTACTCATGTGTACACACGTCTTTGCATACAAATGCTTTCAGAATAAAGCTCTGTTTAAGCTACTCTAGAGTCGGTATGTTGGCAGAACAGGGCGCTGAGTTGGCACAAGCGACTGGCACTCCAGCATGCTCGAACACTTCTGGACCAGCTCTCTTCCTGTTTTTTTGGCTTCAGAGCTGTTGGTTAAGCAATTGTGAATTGAAACAGGGTTGACCCTCACTTTCGTAAATGTAAAACAACCCAAAAATGTACAACAGACATTTTTTTTTATTTGTTACAGTAGATAAACTAAGTGATTGTCCTTTATTATACAAACAAAGGAAGCAATCAGGTTTATACTTATTGATGGTTATATGATACCATTGATCTTTTTGGACTCTCCTTCTCTCTGTTCCCTTTACTTTGTCCTTGTCAGATTTTCTTATTGGTCTGATTCTTTATTGAATCCTCTAGATGTTAGATGTTTTTTTATAAAGTGGCGGCAACTGTAGCAACAGTCAGTCACTTCTAACATAACTCAGGTGAGAGAATATTGGTAGAGAACTTGTTTTCATTTTGGATTTTAAACCTGAATGACACTGGTGTTATTTTAAATGTAAGTAGTTGTAAAAGCAGTTAGAACATTCTGCTAGGAAGATTATTGGTATTTCTTAACCTGTTCATATCTGTAGATGTAGAAGTGGTTCACACTAGGACAGTAGCTTGATGCAAAACAAAAACTAGCAAAACTAGCCTACCGCTCGTCTTCAATGACTTTTCTATAAAAAAGTTTGTCTGACATGACATTAGTTCACCTCTCCACCAAAGCGCACAGAGTCTTCATGACACCTGCCTGCATACATGCATGGGACGTTTTGCTAGTCCAAAAGAAACTTAAAAGCCCCAAATAGTAAAAAAAAAAATAATAATAATAAAAAAAAGGGGGGGGGGGTGGTTATTGAAATTTGATTGTATCTGGTAAAAGGTCCTATATTTCTTTTAGTATTGTAATATATATCAGAAAGAAAAGATTGCATTGTCGGTTTTTCCAAAATCATGCAGCCCTTAATCACACATTGGTCAGCTAAGAATGAAGTCTTTTTCATTTTGATCTGACACTTTGGAACAGATTCTCAACATGAACTGTATGTCCAATGATCATTACAGTACAACAGCAAAACGTGATACCAGTCACAATAGTCACTGTTAAGAATGAAGGTATTACCAGCGCCTTCAACGCTACAAACCAAAGGTATCACAAAACTGAAATCAAAATATGGCATTTCCCACTTTCATTGTCCTGTACACCTCTGTTTTTCTTTCTCTTAGACATACCTTCTGGCAGTATCGTAAGGAGAATCCTGAGAGTAAGGTAGGTGAGCCTCCTCCAGATGGACTCCCAGGCTTCAACAGTGGTGTGATGTTATTGGACTTAGGAGCTATGAGGGCGTCAGCTCTCTACAACCAGCTGCTGGAGCCGAGCAATGTGGCCAAACTGGCAGACCAGTACCGATTCAGGGGCCACCTGGGTGACCAGGACTTCTTTACCATGATCGGCATGGAGCACCCTGAACTGTTTTATTCCCTGGCCTGTGGATGGAACCGGCAGCTGTGCACTTGGTGGAGGGACCATGGATACGGAGAGGTGTTTCAGTTGTATTATCGTTGTAGTGGACCAGTCTACATCTATCACGGGAACTGTAACTCCCCAATACCAGATGACTGAAGTAGAGGACTGGACTGATGCTGGAAATTAAAAAGGAGTGTTTGAATTCTACATTTTAGTAAAAGGGAGAGTTCTGCTATTTGGAACGGGGGATTCTGACATTTATGGCAGTTTCTTTTTTCTTTCTTTTACATACTCAGCCCCCTGCTGGTCAAGGGGCTTTTGAAAGTCCCACCTGCACAACAGTGCTACAAATATGATGCTGAAATTTTCCGATAAGACCAAAAAAAATAAAAATCCTACCGTATAACAAAGCAAAAAGGTGTAATAATAGGAGAGTTTTCTCTCAGGTACAGAGTTGAGAAACAGATTAATGAAATCAAAGGTTTGGTAGTAGAGATGTGGTGATTATCTACCTGTTAGTATACTGCATTAGTAATGTTCTCTTGCTTGCTGGTGTTTGATTGGCGATTGCAGCACCTTCTTAGATGACAGTACATTGTAAAAGAATTTAAACCTTTTTGCATTTGCCCTTTTGAGTGCAGGGAAGGGCTAATGTCAGAATGAATGCAGTCGATTGCATCACAAAAAGTAAATCGTAAATGAATGTGAAATAGCTTTTAGTCAATAATTTAAATAAAAACTAAAAATTGTTTGGAGGAGAAACCGTCATCTATTTCCCATTTATTTGGCTAACACATTTTTTAAACAGTTATTTGGTCAGGAAATGTGTTATTTGGCAAATGTCCGGACACAAAAATTGTCTCAAAACTGTTTTTCACTTCCTCTATTCACTCTGACCACCACAGTGGCCGAACTGCACCTTGCGGCACCTCATACCCCTTCAAAACCGCAGCAGGTTAGGGCTAGTCTTGGGTTATTAGCTGCCAGCCTGTGAGGCTTCAGACTTGGTGGCAACCTGCGGTGTTTGAAAAAGAGGCCAATGCCGGAGTGCAAAAAATTGCAGTTCAACGAGTGTCCGCTTGAGTCTGGCTCCCTGGAAGGCACATACACACCCTATTTAAAAAATGCCTGTTTTTACAGCAGAAATTAACATGTTTACAGCCTGGTACAAAATCGGTACTAGATACCTGGTGTCCTCATGGGCACACACTGTGTGGTGGGGTGAATCTTTTTATAACACATCGGCTTTTATTTTATGAACAATAAAAGTTACTCTCAGTTAGGCTTGATGCTGATATGATTGAAGGCTGGGCGCGATGTAGCGGTTTGTCAGGAGGCTTCAAACCCGCCTCAGATTCTGCTCTTTCCCTGTGATTAGGTTGACCGAAAGTTCGGCAAAATTTTCATTATGGCGACCGCCATTGATGAGGCTCCAGAGCCCCCCCCGCAGTAATCTCTGGGTGAGGTCACTCAAGTCTATGCTTGAGACACGTGGGAGCACACTGCCACAGTTCTATTCAAACACATCTTGTTACAGGTAGGGAAAAAAAGTAAAAAAAAAAAAAGCTGCAAGAGATTGAGGAGAAGGCGTCGTGGGGACATTGGCTAACAATGACGGCAGTGATGGCTGTTCGTGTACTGTGTTTGCAGTTTAGTTGAGGTTGAACACAATTCCATCAGCCACACACATTTCAGAAAGAGTGAATCTGCCGGGGAACGTGACTCGAGACGTTGACCCACTTTTGAGTTTCCCTTGCTGTGCTCACTGAACTGACACACAGATTCAAAGAAAAGTCAACACTCAATATTCACCGTCAGGAAACACACACACACACACACACACACACACACACACACACACACACACACACACACACACACACACACACACACACACACACACACACACACACACACACGAACTGTGCTCATTCCCAACACACAACACACTCATTGTTAGAGTAAAGCTGCTGAATGCCCAAGACAGTCAATAGAGTCAAAGAGGCTGTTGGAAGCACTAGAGGCTTGACATTATTCTGGATCAATTCACTTTCCTTGAACTCCCCCTGAAGCTGATCAATATGTTTTCTGCCTTTTGCAGAACAACACTCTCAATCCTCCATGTCTTTAAAACCCTTTGTTGTTACCGAGGAAAATAACTGAATCAGTGTAAACAAAATACAATGAAACCATTTCCATCTTCAGTTCCTGTTTACACTTTACAACTTAAAGCATGCTTCAACAAGAAGGTTTTTTTTATTTTTTCATCTGTTGTTATTTTTTACGACTATACCATTTGCATTGTGCATTTCAATCTATACATTTATGTTTGTGTATATTTCCTATTCTTTGGTTTCAATTTCTGAACTTTTTCGGTGCATTAATAAAATTGCAGAGACTTAATATGTGACCAGTCATCAACATCCAGTTTTCCACATAACTGTGTAACATTGCAGTGTGTGAACATTGACACCTTAATCTCTCAGAATGGATAAATCTATGGTGAGGAGCATCAGATTCATTTGTTGAATATCAAATCCCAAAGTAAAGGCAACCAACCCACAACCAATGTTTAGTCTTGTTTAAACACCTCTACAGTTATCTGGGCTAAAAAAAAAACTGCAAAAAAAAACTGCATTACCCACAATGCAACAATATGACCAGTACATAGGATAAACTATCATTAATATATTTGTAAATTATAGCAAATTGACTCTCATAGTATTGTTAGAGTTGACGCCATTTGCTCTGGTAGATTATGTTAATCGATTGGTATTGCGATTTAAAAGTAATGTCTTTGTTCTTCTCTGATTTGTTCATCCTTATGTGCTGTAAATAACATCGAAGAGTTATAGTGACACTTTATTTTACCTTTCCATAACCTGAAACTTCTGTCCAAATCTTAGTTGCTTTGAAGTCTCCAGGAAGTGCATGTGAAGTATATTTTAATAATATAAAAATAGTTTTTTTTTAATTAAATTTTTTGGTGGTCTTTTTTATGGCTTTTTTTTAGAGACAGGACAGTGGATAGAGTCAGAAATAAGGGGAGAGTGGTGAATGACACGTGGGAAGGATGGCAGCCACAGGTTGGATTTGAACCGTCCATGAACTTCCTTTGAACTTAATAGAAAATGAGGGAGATGAAACCCAAAGCATGACCCATGTTTTATGTGCTACCTTTACCCCTCAAAGACACTCCCTGTTGTGTTAGAGATTAAAGATGGATTAAAGTGAGAATGATTTGCTTTAACCTGATATTTTTTGCTTCAGTGTTAAAACTGTAAATGTTCTGTATTCACAAGTTGAATGTGCAATTTAAAGGGCTAAAAGGGCTTTCAAATGAAAATAACTATGTGCATAAGTATATCATCCATACCTCACTAAGAAACATCTTGACATAGTAAAGAGCCACGATGTTCCATGTTAAAGAACTTGATATGTTTAAGTAACAACAAGAGCAGCTCAACAAGAAGCCAAAATCTATTTTTTAAATGCTCTTTCTGCTACAGAACTACGGTAAGCTTTTGTTCCTATGTTTGTCTGTTAACTTTACTAAATAAATTATTACTAATGATACCTGTTTTTTTCATTCTTCTGTTGTTTCAGTCGCAAATAATTAACCTTACATGGGAAGCGCTAACGGCACTTCCATCACTTAAAAACAGATGTCAAATAATGTTCAACCCCATTACATGAAATGAAATATTTGACCAAAGATTGCCATTTATTTAGCTTTCAGAGGCTTTATCATGCACATTTAAAATAAGAATGGATTTATTCTGTTAATAATTTTTGAGCACCCTAGTGCCCTTATTACATAAAAAAAAACCTGACTGAAGGGTGTATATTCATGCAGGTCTGTCATATCTCACTTGACATTTTAAACCTAATTCTGTCATGAGCTCCTTCAGAGGCCAAAACAAAATGAGATTCAGAAAACTGGATTTAATTATCATCAATCATTTAACATTTGCGGGACAACACTGTAATACAAGTTGAGCTTTGCAGAAAGAGCTGTTGACATTCATTCTTTTCTTTACAACAGCAGACCTACTAAACTTCTCTATGATCATCCATGCAGCGGCCCCTGAGGTTTGACAACCACTGCATTATACAAACCTGTGCTTATGTTCTTGTTCGTCTGCTACAAGCTAGACACGGCCTCTTTCTGTCACTCAGACCTGCCAACACAGACAGTAAACCCTCCATAGACAGAAAAATATGACATCAATCAGCCTTGACCTCTGAATGTGCTGATATTAAATAACCAAATTTACACCTGCATGTGAATGTCTTTTGTGTCAACAAATGCTGAAATGTATGAATTTGTCTGTCAGCCACGTACTGAGATTGGTGTTTTAGAAAAATGGTTTTAGCTTTTTACATGTGAATTAATTTGAACATATGTCTACTTTACATGTTTTTCTCCAAATGCCCTGTTTCATAATCAGTGATTGGAAGAAAGAAAAGGCATTTTAATTCATGCAATAAAAAAGGTAAAAACAGACTGAAACCTTAACAAATAGCATTTTTCACACTGGGTTCCTGTCTTAGGCCTTTTATAACAGCTCCTCTGTTGGTGGAAAAACCTTCAGTCTGGATTCACTGACAAAAATGTTGAGCCCAAAGCCGACAGAAACAATAGACTACAATAGATTGACACAGCAGAAGCAATATTTACTTATCCAAGAAACACAAACAGTTTACTGCAGAGCTTAATGAGACTCTGAGAGTTCCTGCAACGTGATATTGAAATAAAGACAAATAATCTGTTGCTGCTGTAGCTTCTAATCATAGTCAGCAAAATAGTCAAATCCTAAAGAACCATCACATGATGAAACTCCTACAACAACCACGAGAAGCATATGGACTCGTGTAGAAGCCTGTGCTTATATGACATGACACAACACAAAGCTTTCAGACAAAACGACTGATCTGCTCTTTGTCTGTACTGTGAGGAGCACAATATACATTTATGTATGTATGTAAATGAGTCAAAAGTCTGACACCACCAAAATCTAGAATATTTATCTGTAACCTTTGAGGACTTTGAAACATAAGAAGTTGTTGCCTGTCTCCTCTTACCCCCAGATGGCGGTCAGTCTGCCCATTAAAAAAGCTGACCAGTAAGAGACCTGTCTCCATCTGTACACATCGCTCACTTCTCAGTTCGACTTACTGTCTCCTCTCTAGTTGTCATCAGATTTCTTTTTTTTTACTGAAAATAACAGCAGGACATTTGAAGGAAATATTCTTTGTTTCTGCTTTGAGCAGAGCTGAATTAATACATATACTTTGATAGCAGCTATTTGTATTCATGAAGTCATTACTAGCCTGGTTAACATAATGTGAAGACAAATAAATTGGCTATCCTAGCATAGAGGTAACAACCAATAAACAACAACATAGTTGTATTTCTTAACATACTTAGTAAGGAAAATGCAACGTTTATTTTTGGAATGTAGCCTCTTAACCATTGACTTCTCAATGTGCAGCTATTAAATGACCAACAACAACACTCATGTCCTCATGTCTGATGACTTTGGAAAAATTGCATGGTTAATTGTCTTTTTCCAAAAAGTGATGAAATTAGCATTAGGATGATAAAAAGGTTGCTTTTACACAAAACATACCACAACACTTTCAAACTGTCCAAATATATGTATATTTTTTTAGCTTTGGAGGCCTTCCTTAAGTTGTTGTTATTGGTGCAGCATTTTAGACAACAAAAAACCCAATGAGTTGCAAGTGCACCATATGTTCCCTAAGGTTATCATATTTTCAGCCACTTAAAATAATATTGTGAAATTCCATGTTTGCTTGAAGGTAACTCGTTTGTTAAGTTACATAAAACGAATCAACCAAACGTAACAGTTCCAGACAGTAACCACTGATTATTTTGTACAAACGTCATGAGATGTTTTCAGCAGTGGTCTGATGCACCTGTGCTTCGTGTCTGGTCCCATGCCACCATTGTCCTCTAGCAAAGCCTCCAACTCACAGTGACAATATACAAGAACCTGTGTTATTCAGACGACAAAAACAAAGCCTGCTGATCTCTGATTATTTCTTACTACAATAGCCGATCTCAAGGTGAATGTCAGCAATGACAAACAACAAAAGGTGCTGCATATGATAAATCTCTCATGTGCCTTTGAATCATGTGGCTTCAAGACTCAAAAGAGAAACATTTTCTAAATGTAGCTGTAGCTTTCAGAAAATACCAATGATTCCTAACCAAAACCTTTATCCTCCAAACATTGATCCTTGGTTTAGCATCATTTTAATATGAATTAATGATATATTTTCAGTGTTTCTCTCTGTTAATTTCTGTTTCTGTTTATCCTTAAAATGTTTTGCATATGAATAACCTGACACAAATTAACGTCTGTCTTACATGCACCACCAACATCTGTAGTCCTTAGAGACCGCTCTGTTTTCCACCACTCAGTGTGAGAACAGCTGTACCTTGTAAACAAGAGGAAGATTATGACGATAGTGGAGAGTCATTTTGTGAATCACCAGCAGGTGAAACATCAGTCGAAACAGCATGGCTCAAAAAGTGGGCCACTGACTGTCAACATCATTTCTGCGGCTCATTTCTTTAAGTATATGATATCAGACATGACTCGTGTCGTTTTAAGATTTATCTCAAACTGATTTGATGTTTTTTTTAAAAGCTAACGTTCATTGACAGCTATAGTAAACTAAATTGAAATATGATACACTACATTATTTAGAGGAACAACGCTGATGGACTCACACAACCAAGGAAGAGTTAAAAAAACATTTAATAGCCTATAATTTTATACATATTTTTTTTTTATGTAGCCCAGTTACCGAGTTCTTTAATTACACTTTGGTCAAGACTTGTCCCATTATATCAAACTTCACTAAACCTTTAGGCTACACTTTCTTTCCAATGAAGATGTCTTGTACAATATTGGTTGGCATTTTGGGTAATACCCCTTTTCACTTAAGTGTTGACAGTTGTTGAAAAAATATGATGCCTATCAAGAGTTGGACCAAAATTAAAGTTGGTAGAATTAAACAAAGATAATACATTTGATACACAGGATACCCCATGCAAAGGCAGACTAGCGTATATGTAAGGTGCTGATAGGCTGCAGGAACATACAATTAGAAAATAAGTGCTCCTCCACACACTATTATTTCTTCTCTGCAGATAAATGTGTTTCTCCTAGTTTCCAGACTTATGCTAGCTAAGCTTACTTAGCCTAGCCTTAGATTAGCCTTGTACTGATAGGCTAGCTTTGTCCTTTAGTGATGAGACAAAAAAATATTCATTTGTTTATTTAAGTCATTAGTCATAATTATTATTCTTTTTTCACTTCTTTATTATGCTTTATTCAATTCACAATTTGATGGACATTTCTGACCCCTGTCTTTATCAGTTTTTGTTGCGCTAAATGTCAGGCTATCAGAGTTGTCTCCCTCCGCTGTCGCATGGAGGAAACTGATATGCATCTAGCTCTGTGATGGATGTTGAAGCCATAAAATGACAGAGCGCTAGGATATAGTTATTAAATGAGAAAACTTAGAATTACATTAATATTGAACAGTCACATCTGCACTTTTAGTGGGTGGGCTTTGTTATTATTTACTTTATAAAATATTCCGCTCGCTGCGAGGACACGAATCACACGCTAGCTAAAAGTGTGCCAAACTAGGCAGGCTAGCGAGCTAACTTTTTCTCTTGATGGCAAGAAACATTACTGCTAGTGAGGAGCTTATCAATGCGACCCAAACGTCTGGACGTTTTTTTTAATTTACTTTTAATGAAAAGTCCGAGTTAAGATGCACATGAAGACATTCACCTGAGCTGTATGTGGTGGTGCAGAAAACGAAGGCCTGTGAGAGACCTTTCAACTCCAGCATAAGATACACCTGTGGTGGACTTCGTTTTTTTGCCACTGTTTTAACACAGTTTATTGGGAAACATTATTGTGTTGAATTCATAGACTGTAGGTAAATCTACTAATTTGGCGATCATTATAGTAGGCCTACTTGCTATTGCTATTGAGGGTTTTGCACCCGTTGTCAGATTATGTTGATGAAGTGCACATGTCTAGTTTGTATGATGATTTGATGGTTTGTAAGGACGATTCGCCTTTTGCTTAAGAAATCAAGGTTTTTTTGATAAGTCTCTATGCTGTTTTCTCATTGCATTGCTATGGCTTGCTGACTTGATTTTTGTTTCAGAGACTCAGTCTCATTCATTTATGTTTGGAGAAAACACTAAGTGACAAGCAAAACATTACTGTCAGGTTGTTTAGTGGGGCTATCCAGATAGTTGCTGTAGGTCTGTAAAGAAGCTTGCAGGGAACCAGTCAAATTTCACCTCATCATGCAGGAATGAGGTCGTTAACTAATCATATGTAGTATTTAATTTGACTTTCTTAAGATTTGCTTTATCCTTCCCTTCAATCTTTCCTGCACATTGTACTACTACATGGTCTAAGTTCACAAGAGTACAGTATGAACCTACTGTCTAGTCAGTTAAAGTCCATCCATTGACCATGGCAGAAGTGTATATGAGTTTTATACATGAAC